TTGCAGACCATTAAGATGCACTGTTCTTTTTTTGTCCTCCTCGGTCGGGCACAGAGACCAGTCATTCCCTGCTGCAGATTTTTGCAGGTCCGTCAGTGAGACGTGAGAACTGGATGCAGGCAAGTAGACAGAAGCTACTTCTGTCTTGAACACTTTTCCATGGGTGGATGGATTAGCCTCCTCGTTCCCCAACGGCCCACTGTGGTGTTTTGCTTTGTCATGCAGCTGGTAATCAGGCTCTTCTAAAACAGAAGCTGCTGAATTTTGAAGAGAAGGAGGTTCTTTAGTACAGCTGTGCAAATCAGTGCTTCTACATGTCTCCGAACAGTTGTCACTAGAAGGCTGCTCTATTGCATTCATGCGTTCATTAGTATGTGAAATAAACTCAGCTGTCACAAATCCAGTGACTTTCTTGCTACACTGAGCAGCCTCCCCTGAGATTTTGCTGTCTTTATCTTTAACATCTATTAGGAATCCATTGTTTTGACTTGGAAAAGTGTCAACAGAAGCTATGCTTTTGATGATACTCCCCTTTTTCCGGTCCAAGGGGAATGTCTGGTAACACTTTTTAAGTTCAGGCGAAGTCTGAACTCCTGTACTTTTAGTAACGTTAGGGATTGATCTCCGAGCAGGCACTGTCATATATTTCCGGTAAGCTGCTCTGTAAGAGATGGGCTTTGCTTCCTTTTTGTCACTCTGCTGTAATGTAGAGAGTTGTTTATCTCTCTGCTCGTTTTGGGCGTCACAGATGTCTTTGAATCTCACCTGCAGGGCTTTGTTTCTTTTCTTGATCTGCCGGTTGGGATCCAGTGCGTATTTCATCTCTAAGGCAAGGGATGTTGCTGGATCAACTTCACTTTCAGAGGCTGTAAGCAAGCACTTGCTGGGTTCCTTACTCTCCATGGTTCCTGTATTCAGAAACAGTTTTTAGGAAGAATTTTATTGCACTAAGTATGTAGGTGTTTAATCAAAACATCTGAAACTTTGAAGGAAAAAGAGTAAGTTTAGGGTCTCCTATTGGTTGGTTGGTTGGGAATCTCCACATGTACATATATTGTTGTTCTCTACGTTGTTCTAGTTTTCTGGTAAAACAATGGATAGTATACAACTCAGCTTTACACAGAGTAAAGGTAAAGGGACCCCTGACCATTAGGTCCAGTCATGGCCGACTCTGGGGTTGTGGCGCTCATCTCGCTTTATTGGCCAAGGGAGCTGGCGTACAGCTTCCGGGTCATGTGGCCAGCATGACTAAGCCGCTTCTGGTGAACCAGAGCAGTGCACGGAAATGCCGTTTACCTTCCCGCCGGAGCGGTACCTATTTATCTACTTGCACTTTGATGTGCTTTCAAACTGCTAGGTTGGCAGGAGCTGGGACCGAGCAACAGGAGCTCACACCATTGCGGGGATTCAAACTGCCGACCTTCTGATCGGCAAGCCCTAGGCTCTGTGGTTTAACCCACAGTGCCACCCATGACCCTTTACACAGAGTAGACCCATTTAAATTAATGAACATGACTATGTTAGGTCCATTAATTTCAGTGAAGTAAAACTTAGCTGAATACCACCCAGCGTAATCTCATGGGTAATGTCAGGGGGGGGAAATCAGTTTAGGTGAGTTCTGATGTGGCCTTAATGATGATGTGAGGGGCGTGGGAACCACTTCAGGGTGTCCAAAGCTTTTTACATAATCTTAGGTTCCCATGCAACTCTTCTGCAATGCCAGTATTAATGCCTCCATCGTGTGTACCAGTATGGCATATTGGAAAGAACAGTTGTTCCAGCCTAGATGCCTCTAGATGTTTTGGGCTACAACCCATCAGCCTCAGCCAGCGTGGCCAATACTGAAGGACGATGGGAGCTGTAATCCAAAATATAGCAAGTTTGCAGGTTTGAGCTGCGTATGGGACAGCTTCCTGTTCCTGCATTGCAGTGGGTTAGACTAGATCCATGGTTCCCAACATGGGGAGCAATTTCATTTTTAAGGGGGGGCAATTTGGAAGCTTGTGTAGACCAAGTTAATGGCCTTTTAGGCTTCCTCCACATGAATAGGAGTTCACTTTCTGAATAATAAGAATTATATGACACGGGGGGGGGGGATCAGGATTTTAGAGATGCTTAGGTGGGGCATGGCCAAAAAAAGGTTGGGGACCACTGGACCAGATGATCCTCAGGGTCTCTTCCAACTCAACGTTTCTGTGATTCTACCTTGACAGAAACAGGTGAGGAAAGACTTGAGATACTTCGTTGGATTTGGAATATTATTCAAATTCATGTTCAGCTTGTTAAATGATCTTGGATCAGTCATTGGCTCTCACAAGGTTGGGAGGATGAAAGTGTGTGAATATTGGGGGGCAGGTGGTGCTGGAGAGAACCATGTGTGCAAGAAGGGGATCTGTGTCTGCTATATCACGTTCTAATTTGTTGGAAGCCACCCAGAGTGGCTGGGGTAACCTAGTCAGATGGGTGGCATATAAATAATAAATTATTATTAATTTTCCATGATGATTAAAAGGATTGGTCAGTCCCTACTCATACATATGTCAGTGAGAGTATTGGAGCCTGGGGCCAGTGCACTGAAGCAGCTGTATACAGTTAACTTTGCATTCTTCTGTAAGGTGGGAATAACAATTTCCCCCTTTTGGAATAGTTCCAAATATGAACTGCAAGACGGATGATAAATAATGTCCCTTTGTCTAAAGCTTTTTAAATGGGGATATTTTATTCTGCAGAGTGATTGTCAATAAACAATGGTGAGTTAAGGTGCTTTTTCGGTCCTTAGAGGTCCTTCATTTATTAGATTTGAAATTGAGTTGGCTATACTGAATTTTTGATAATTTCATTATTAACATTTGAAAAGATAAACACTTTAAAAACAAAAACAAAGTCTAGGTGTTATAGTGTGGGCACAGATGTGCACGTGTGACCAGTCATTTTACAGTGAGAATGGAGCTAAGTGGGGTTTGGTTGTGTGATGCATCATATTGACAGGAATGATTTTAGGGGATACACTGCTATGCTTGAGCAGTCATCAAGATTTCTTTTTTTTTAAAAAAAAATGTTTCCTTGTAAGCAAATCCAATGTTTCTGAAAGTATGCATCTTGTTAATTCCTTTCATGGCAATGGAAACATCAACATTTATTTGGTTTTAAATACCGAACAATTAGTGTTCCATGGTGAAAATACTGTTTTGCACTATGCATTCCATGTTTTTCATTTAAAATGTCATTTAAACAAGGAAATTTTTATAAATAGCAAAATACAGAACCTTGTGTTGCATATTTAATATTCATATTGTGTTCAATTATTAAGAGTAGCTAAGATGATGCAGGTGGCTGCTCTGTTCTGTTCAGGGAATACTCAGAGGGTCACACCTTAGTTTATTATGCTGCCTCACAGCTGTTTTATACACATGGTGAAGTTTATTTGATTGCTGAAGTAAGAAAATAAAAGCTGATTTCAGAGGAACCATGCCAAATTGTATGAGGAGAGAATTTGGCCATGTTTGATTCCTTATCCATTTTTATAATGTTTTATGTGGGTTTTACAGTGAGGAAAAACTGTAGCTGGAAATCAAACAAAAAAACAACCCTAACTAGCTGAAAAAATCACAAAAAACTAACACTTGTTTTACTGTAGAGTACATTTTCAAAATAAAATAATATATACACAATTCAGGTGGAATAACAGCTGCTGGTGCTTGTTTGCCTTTTCTTTCACTTCCCTAAGGAATAAGGCATTGCAGATAAACATGGCCTAGGCTTAAAACAAAAATCTTAGCCAAGACAGTCCAAATCTTTGCAGGAAGCAATCCCTTCAGTGTAGAAGGATCTGGCTGGCTACATAAATGGGTGGTGGGAAGGAGTGAAGGCCCTTTATATATCACGTCCCCCCCAAATGGGATAGCTCCCTTGGCCACCTTGCCTGCTGCTTTAAGTCAAGTAGTAGCATAAAAATGCACATAAGAAAACAAGCTGATCTACCTATGAAGCAAGAATGGTGCACAGGAGAAATTACTCGTTGGATGGGAAAGGGAAATGAGTGATCTTAAGGTTTTTACCTCCTAAGCAAACTATTATGTGCTTGCATATAGCCTCTGAAAGGTGAACCCACAACTTGAAGATGAAATAGATGCAACAGATGCATTGAATATCAACCAAGATCAAGAGAATTAACTTTAAAAGGGTTTAGGAGTCGCAAACTTTACTTTGGCTAATCCGAAAATGACAGCGGTTTGGTTCAAAATGGAAAAGCTTCTTCTACTGGCAGAAGGCCTTTTATCCAGGGGAGGTAACCTGCTGGCAGAGGTGGCTTTTGTTGATTCCTTTCTTTCCACTGCAGTCCCCAATGCTCCTGGGATGTGGCACTGGAAGCTGCTGCTGGAGGAGTGAATCAGCAAAGGTTACCTCCCTCCCTCCCTCACCAGCATGCATGAATTCTGGTTCCAACCCAAAAGTTCATGCTTTTACCTGTTGGTATCCTTTCTCTCTTCTTGCCTGAGCACAGCACAATGGCAGCGAATCAGTTAGAACTGTACTGGCTTTCAAGCGCTGCAACCTCAGAATACTTTACCATGAAAACATCACCACATTCCTGGGAAATCTCTAAATATGTCTCCTGTTTTATGGAAGGCAGAAGGCCTAGAGCAGTCAAGGCAAACCAAGTCAACTCTCCACACCGGGTGTGAAGAATGGTAGCTTCTCATACACCGTTTTGTATCTCCAGCTAGAGATATTGGAATACAACAGTCTGTTGATTTGGTTTAACGCTACAAGAACCCATTACTGGCATTCTACTGGACTTCATGATACTCCTTCAAAAGGCAGTATTACAGCATAGTAATATTGGTAGCATGGCTTCACTGGGCAGGAAACTGATAATTTATAAATTACTTATGTATTAACTTGAATTAATCTAAAGAAGCACAGAATCATAGAATTTGTAGAGTTGGAAGGGACCACGAGGATCATCTAGTCCAACCCCCTGCAATGCAGGAATATTTTGCCTAACCTGGGGCTGGAACCCATGACCCCTGAGATTAAGAGTCTCATGATCTACCCGTTGAGCTATCCCAGTTGTGCATTTTAACTATGTTTAGGAATAAATTGAATATTTGTAAAATATACCTGGGTCACAAAGTGACCACAGTCCTATTCTGATAGTTAATTTCGGTGATAATTTATTAGGCTAGCTAATGTCTTTGGTGCATGAGCTTGAGCTAGCACAAGGGACATGTGCTAGTAGAACATAACTTTCCCTTCTTCTTCTCTGCAGTCTCCTGTATGCCCCTGAAATCTTCTCCAGAGGGTTGGGGGACACTCTGGAGGAGATTTTGGAGGCATGTGGGAAGAGGAGAAGAAATGGAAGTGCTGCTGTGGTAACAGAACTCTGCTGGTACTGCTGTGGGTACAACCCATATTCTGTTGTAGATAGACCCCTTCTAATTCCGGAAAACACTACCATATGCTAGTTGTAGCAAACTCATGCACGAGTAATCAATGGTTGATGTACTCATGCTAGTTTCTATTAATGGGATTACTCATAATTCAAAGCCTTGTTGTAGATTTTTGTAGAAAGTTCCAGTTAGATAAGGAAACTAATGTTTTTGGAGTTACTACTAGACTTCTGGTTTAAATCTTTAACACTTGGTTGCCAATTTTTTAAAAAAGAGTTTTTGCTTTGACCTCTTTTCCCAGTGTATTTATTAAGGGTTCATATATATATATATATATATATATATATATATATATATATATATATATATATATATATATATACACATATATCTATATCTATATATCTATATATCTCTCTCTCTATATATAATTTTTATTAGTTTTCCAATAAGAACATCCAATTAACAAATCCATCAAATCATAATCCAATTAAAAATAATAATAAAAAACAGCCAAATTACAATCCAAATTATTAATTATTAATTTTTCAGGCTTCCCATACTCTGGACCTCTGAAGTATATCTCCAGTATTTTCATTTCTGCCTTCCTTTTGTTGTTCTCATATTTTCCACATTCTGATCTTAACGCTTTAAACTCAGTTGGAACCCAGTGTATTTATTAAGGGTTCCAACTGAGTTGCAATGTAGCTCAGGTTATGGGGTTGTTTTTTTTTTTTCTTAAGAAGGAATGTGTGATGTAGATGGCAGGGTATGAAAGACACCCTCATGCTACAGTTCACCATAAAACTTGAAGTATTTAGTGGAGGTAGCCAATGTGGTAGCTTCAGAGATTGTTGGGCTACAACTCCCATCATCTTTGATTTTTGGCCATGCTAGTTGGGGCTGATGGAGAATTGGCTGCTCCTGTTTGCAAGAACATGCAAGCTGCACAAAAGAGGTTGGCACTCCTGCACAAAAAAACACACTTCTGCATGAATTGTTTTTAACAAATTTATAAAAAGAATATACTCTGCTAAGCCATGTGCAGTAAAGTTAAGAACAACAGTGATACAAGCCGATGAAAAATGTTAAGCAGTTCAGTTATGTCAGGAGGTGAGTGGTTCAAACTTTGTGTTCTATGTCATGTTAGGAATATCCAGGAACCCACTACTTTGGGTTTAATGGTGTTAAACTGTGTTTGAAAACAATGTACAGCAAGCTCTCACGCTGAATATTTTGACAAATCCATAGGGTAATGACAAGAATATCCTAAAATGAACATATATATATATATATTATGTTAATATTCTTTATTTTTTATTAAGAGGGCCCATTTAAAGATCTTGGTGTTCTATACAGTAACAAAAAGGACTCCAGTGATTTGAACATGGATATGGTGCAATTTGATATGTACCACGATCCACAGATCTTAGCTTTAGAGCATTTCAGAGCTTGAGTTGAACCCTGAAATTATGAAGCAGCAATAAATGGGGGAGAAATGTTGTGTGTGTGGAGGGTTCAGTATGTGACAGGAGCAATCATCATTAGCTCCACATATCTAGTATTAGAGAAAGGCTGCACAGTGTGACTTTAGGCAGCAAGCTCAGTGTTAAAAAGTACAAAGTGCTGTTCAGAAAGAAGTGTGCGCTACTGAGGGACCACATATTGTGCATGCAGGAGGTCCCAGGTTCAGTTCCTGGCATTTAAACTTAAAAGGGATAGACAGCAGGTGATGCGAAAGACCCCTCTGTCTGAGAACCTGGGCAGTTACTGGCAGTCAAGAATAGACAATACAGTCATAACTTGGTTGTCAAACGCCTTGCGACTCGAACCTTTTGGCTCCTGAACGCTGCAAACCTGGAAGCGAGTGTTCCGGTTTGCGAACATTTTTGGAACCCGAACATCCGACGCGGCTTCCGCAGCTTCCGATCAAGTTCAGGAAGCTCCTGCAGCCAACTGGAAACCGTTGACTTGATTTTCAAACGTTTTCGGAAGTAAAACGGACTTCCGGAACGAATACAAGGTACGACTGTATTGGACAACATGGACAAACCAGTGTGGACTGGCAACTTCTTGTGTCAAAACAATCTATGTGCAGGTATAAGAAATCCTGTTCTATGCTGTTTTGATGCACTATGTTGTTTTATTTGTCTACATTCAAGCTGTACATGGCTTGTACACCTGCAGTACATATTACAGGTTTGTGTAGCAAATCCCATTGTTCCTACATACTATTGATAAGGATGTGGTGAATCCTGTTATCCTGACTTTATCACCAACACATTTATTTTTAAAAAAAGATGATTCACTGTTTTAAAATTTAGTTCAAATTAAAAGGACAATATGCCTGGTGTAAGGAAAAGGGGTTAATGAAGTAGCTGAGCAGTCCACATTTTGACCATCTGCAATGAAACAAAGGGCCTTTGAAGTGAAATTGTAAGTAAGGCTAAACTTGCAGAAAGACATGTGGGACTTGAGACAGTGGTATCATAAAATGGCATGACTAATTACTTACCGTCACTATTAAGGGATTGTGATGCTGGAGACGAAAGATTCCACATCTCATTATCAGCTCCTTTAGCCATCTTGCCGCTCACCTAAAATACAGGGCATATTCCATTACTGATAGGTTACATGTTCTCTCAAGGAAGCTTAATTTGTTGTACTACAATCCACCTATGGCAAAATCCACTACTTTACAGAGGAACAGCACTGACCCCATCCCTTCAAGAGAGCAAAGGTGGCACTATTATTGTGTTGTGCCTTCTGACACTGCAATATTTGTGTCTAGTCAATGAAATTCTTCCTTGAATGTCTGAACTTTAATAAAAAAATGCATTTATAAAAAACACATTTTTTAAAAAAAGTATGTACAGTACAATCTGATTATTGCAGCCACATACAAACTATTAAATGGGCCCTGTGCATTTTGTTGTTGTTGTTGGAACAAACCTAAGATGGCAGCTATGTCACCTTTAGAAGTTATACCCAAGGTCTGTTGAATATGAAGTGAAACAGCATATGAATTAGCCCAATGTAAAAAAAGCAGTATGAAACATAATATGTTGCCATTAGAATTGCAACTGGTATTTTAAAAAATGAATGTGATCTCCTTGCTCATTTGCAAGATAAAACTGCTCATCGTGGCTTTGAATGACATTTGCAGACATCTCATATTTATTTGCAATTTATAATGTGCAGTTCATAAACTGGCAAGTTTTTTTTAGAAATTAATTTTTAAGACATTAGTAGACAAACTATATAAATACCTAGAAATAGAAAACATCCCACCAAACATAAATCATTTTCAGACATAAAACATACTATTGATTAACTTGTGTCTCATTTTTATTAGAAACTATATTTAACCTTATGCTTGAATTAGCAGGTTATAATCAACAAGTGCAGTAGAGCTGCGAGAATTTTTTTGCTCAGTTTCTTATTCAAAGAAAATGACAGACAACCCCACTGAAAGACTGATAGACTTTCAAGTGGAATCTGACGTGTAACAGCTGGCTTACTCAGAAGAACAGATTTACTTGCTTATGTTTCACATGCAATTCAAGGTGCTTAATAAAACTGGCTTGGTTTCGCATAGTTATCCTACTGACTCTTCCACTCAACCAAACTGTATGGCTGTTCCATACAACATAGAAAATAACAGGTGGTGTGTTTTGAGCTGAATCTGGGAAGAAGAGCCAAATCTCAAGGAATTTGAACCTAGGGCCTGAAGTGCAAACAGACAGGTGGCATCTACTGACCAGGCAACTTTGAAAGACCCAGACTCTTAGTATTTATAACTTACCAACTCAAAGGCTTCACACTGCCTGTCAATCACAGGGGCAATTGTCACTGAGACAACATCATAGCTCCAAGTAGCATTTGATCAGTAGTTACATGTCCATCACCTTATGTGCTGAAATAAGACAGAAAGATCTCTTGGCTAGGTCTAAGCTTTGGGCCATAAGGTCACCAGTTCTAGCCTTGAAGTCTGACACTTCACAACACCACTTTTTTGTCATAAGAATTGTGTGATGATATCTGCATGCCCAATAGGCTTTGGACCTTAGTAGGTACAGTAATGTTCTTCATGTAGAGGGGGCCTTTGATACTTTGAAGAGCTTCAAAAGCATATTGGAAAGCAGTATGGAATAGGGGCTCTAGGTTAAAAGAAGAAGGCATATGGAATCAAAAGTCTTGCTTTGGGGCATTCTTAAAAGTGGTTTATTCACCCCCTGGACTTTGGTCACACTTTCTCATCTAAAATGTGATCGCTTTTCATTAGAGCAGCGCTGGCCAGACAGTAGATTGGGATATAGTGGCGCATTTAAAGTACATCAGTAAGGTTTTTGATTCCTAATTGTTTGATGAAAGGCACAGCAAAACTTGTTTGATCTTTGGGCAAACTGTGCATCCCTGACCGTCTATTTTCCTCATCTATAGTGACTTCATACTTACAAGTCATGTCACATTAATGCTCTTCCTTTTAGCTGCTAATTACGAAAATATAGTCATCGTCCTATTCCCTTCCTTCTCAGTCTTCATGTTCCCACTCTTGTGAAATGTATTAACTGTTTACTTTGGACTGTTTTCCTTGTGTGGCTCTGCTGGCCAGTTTTAAGTTTTTGTGAAGGCAGTCTTGGCCTATAGTAATGACACAGATGTAGATTTGTATAT